ACCAGCGTACTATTAGTGTGAGTCCTGGATGGTAGCTGTCTACCAGCGTACTATCTAGTGTGAGTCCTGGATGGTAGCTGTCTACCAGCGTACTATCTAGTGTGAGTCCTGGATGGTAGCTGTCTACCAGCGTACTATCTAGTGTGAGTCCTGGATGGTAGCTGTCTACAGCGTACTATCTAGTGTGAGTCCTGGATGGTAGCTGTCTACCAGCGTACTATCTAGTGTGAGTCCTGGATGGTAGCTGTCTAACAACCTACTATCTAGTGTGAGTCCTGGATGGTAATTGTCTACCAACCTACGATGTAGTGTGAGTCCTGGATGGTAGCTGTCTACCAACCTACTATCTGGTGTGAGTCCTGGATGGTAGCTGTCTACCAGCGTACTATCTAGTGTGAGTGCTGGATGGTAGCTGTCTAACAACCTACTATCTAGTGTGAGTCCTGGATGGTAGCTGTCTAACAACCTACTATCTAGTGTGAGTCCTGGATGGTAGCTGTCTAACAACCTACTATCTAGTGTGAGTCCTGGATGGTAGCTGTCTACCAACCTACTATCTAGTGTGAGTTCTGGATGGTAGCTGTCTAACAACCTACTATCTAGTGTGAGTCCTGGATGGTAGCTGTCTACGAACGTACTATGTAGTGTGAGTCATGGATGGTAGCTGTCTAACAACCTACTATCTAGTGTGAGTCCTGGATGGTAGCTGTCTAACAACCTACTATCTAGTGTGAGTCCTGGATGGTAGCTGTCTACCAACGTACTATCTAGTGTGAGTCCTGGATGGTAGCTGTCGACCAACGTACTATCTAGTGTGAGTCCTGGATGGTAGCTGGCTACCAACGTACTATCTAGTGTGAGCCCTGGATGGTAGCTGTCTACCAACGTACTATCTAGTGTGAGTCCTGGATGGTAGCTGTCTACCAACGTACTATCTAGTGTGAGTCCTGGATGGTAGCTGTCTACCAACGTACTATCTAGTGTGAGTTCTGGATGGTAGCTGTCTACCAACGTACTATCTAGTGTGAGTCCTGGATGGTAGCTGTCTAACAACCTACTATCTAGTGTGAGTCCTGGATGGTAGCTATCTAACAACCTACTATCTAGTGTGAGTCCTGGATGGTAGCTGTCTAACAGCTTATTATCTAGTGTGAGTCCTGGATGGTAGCTGTCTACCAACGTACTATCTAGTGTGAGTCCTGGATGGTAGCTTCTAACAACTTACTATCTAGTGTGAGTCCTGGATGGTAGCTGTCTACCAACGTACTATCTAGTGTGAGTCCTGGATGGTAGCTGTCTAACAACCTACTATCTAGTGTGAGTCCTGGATGGTAGCTGTCTAAACCTACTGTCTAGTGTGAGTGCTGGATGGCAGCTGTCGAACAACCTACTATCTAGTGTGAGTGCTGGATGGTAGCTATCTAACAACCTACTATCTAGTGTGAGTCCTGGATGGTAGCTGTCTAACAGCTTATTATCTAGTGTGAGTCCTGGATGGTAGCTGTCTACCAACGTACTATCTAGTGTGAGTCCTGGATGGTAGCTGTCTAACAACCTACTATCTAGTGTGAGTCCTGGATGGTAGCTGTCTAACAACCTACTATCTAGTGTGAGTCCTGGATGGTAGCTGTCTACCAGCGTACTATCTAGTGTGAGTCCTGGATGGTAGCTGTCTAACAACCTACTATCTAGTGTGAGTCCTGGATGGTAGCTGTCTACCAACGTACTATCTAGTGTGAGTGCTGGATGGTAGCTGTCTACCAACGTACTATCTAGTGTGAGTCCTGGATGGTAGCTGTCTACCAACGTACTATCTAGTGTGAGTCCTGGATGGTAGCTGTCTACCAACGTACTATCTAGTGTGAGTCCTGGATGGTAGCTGTCTACCAACGTACTATCTAGTGTGAGTCCTGGATGGTAGCTGTCTACCAACGTACTATCTAGTGTGAGTCCTGGATGGTAGCTGTCTACCAACGTACTATCTAGTGTGAGTCCTGGATGGTAGCTGTCTACCAACGTACTATCTAGTGTGAGTCCTGGATGGTTATACTGATAAATAAATTCATGGGAAAGCAATTAACCTGAAGGTGGGAAGGGCAGTGCCTGCACTCTGAAGGAGGGGTGGTGGTGGGAAGGGCAGTGCCTGCACTCTGAAGGAGGGGTGGTGGTGGGAAGGGCAGTGCCTGCACTCTGAAGGAGGGGTGGTGGTGGGAAGGGCAGTGCCTGCACTCTGAAGGAGGGGTGGTGGTGGGAAGGGCAGTGCCTGCACTCTGAAGGAGGGGTGGTGGTGGGAAGTGCAGTGCCTGCACTCTGAAGGAGGGGTGGTGGTGGGATGGGCAGTGCCTGCACTCTGAAGGAGGGGTGGTGACGAATGGTTTGAAAAACCGACAAGTTGAAGATTGAGACACTTATGCAACATATGGGAGTCTTTATTCAGGAAACGTTTCGCCACACAGTTGCTTTATCAGTCCAATACAAAGTAGAAAGGCGTAAGGAGAGGAGGAGTTTGAGGTAATCAGTCCCTCAGCCTGGAGTCGATGTGTTCAGTACATCAATCTTGTAAAATGTACAGCATAGGACTGTAGACGTGGCTTATATACTGTAGGGAGGTGAGACGAAGCAGGAGGAGGTGAGGTCATAGTGGTATCATCCACTAGTCGAAGTAGGTCTTCGTCCAAAGGTTGGACAAGTGTTGAAGAATTCTTTGTAACAAGATCCCATGATGCTGCAGTGTCTGACAGTTGTGATGAATGGTTTGAAAAACCGACAAGTTGAAGATTGAGACACTTATGCAACATATGGGAGTCTTTATTCAGGAAACGTTTCGCCACACAGTGGCTTCATCAGTCCAATACGAAGTAGAAAGGCGTAAGGAGAGGAGGAGTTTGAGATAATCAGTCCCTCAGCCTGGAGTTGATGTGCTCAGTACTCTGAAGGAGGGGTGGTGGTGGGAAGGGCAGTGCCTGCACTCTGAAGGAGGGGTGGTGGTGGGAAGGGCAGTGCCTGCACTCTGAAGGAGGGGTGGGGGTGGGAAGGGCAGTGCATGCACTCTGAAGGAGGGGTGGTGGTGGGAAGGGCAGTGCCTGCGCTCTGAAGGAGGGGTGGTGGTGGGAAGGGCAGTGCCTGCACTCTGAAGGAGGGGTGGTGGTAGGAAGTGCAGTGCCTGCACTCTGAAGGAGGGGTGGTGGTTGGAAGTGCAGTGCCTGCACTCTGAAGGAGGGGTGGTGGTGGGAAGGGCAGTGCCTGCACTCTGAAGGAGGGGTGGTGGTGGGAAGGGCAGTGTCTGCACTCTGAAGGAGGGGTGGTTGTGGAAAATGCAGTGTCTGCACTCTGAAGGAGGGGTGGTGGTGGGAAGCACAGTGCTTGCACTCTGAAGGAGGGGTTGTGGTAGGAAGTGCAGTGCCTGCACTCTGAAGGAGGGACTGTGGTGGGAAGTGCAGTGCCTGCACTCTGAAGGAGGGGTGGTGGTGGGAAGTGCAGTGCCTGTACTCTGAAGAAGGGGTGGTGGTGGGAAGTGCAGTGTCTGCACTCTGAAGGAGGGGTGGTGGTGGGAATTGCAGTGTCTGCACCTCTGAAGGAGGGGTGGTGGGGGGAAGTGCAGTGCTGCACTCTGAGGAGGGGTGTGTGGAATTGCAGTGTCTGCACCTGAAGGAGGGGTGGTGGGAAGTGCAGTGCCTGCACTCTGAAGGAGGGGTGGTGGTGGGAATTGCAGTGTCTGCACCCTGAAGGAGGGGTAGTTGTGGGAAGTGCAGTGCCTGCACTCTGAAGGAGGGGTGGTGGTGGGAAGTGCAGTGCGTGCACTCTGAAGAAGGGGTGGTGGTGGGAAGTGCAGTGTCTGCACTCTGAAGGAGGGGTGGTGGTGGGAATTGCAGTGTCTGCACCCTGAAGGAGGGGTAGTTGTGGGAAGTGCAGTGTCTGCACTCTGAAGGAGGGGTGGTGGTGGGAATTGCAGTGTCTGCACCCTGAAGGAGGGGTAGTTGTGGGAAGTGCAGTGCCTGCACTCTGAAGGAGGGGTAGTTGTGGGAAGTGCAGTGTTGCACTCTGAAGGAGGGCTGTGGTGGGAAGTGCAGTGCTGCACTTGAAGGAGGTGGTGTGGGAAGTGCGTGCTTGCACTCTGAAGAGGGTGGTTGTGGAAGTGCCGTGCCTGCACTCTGAAGGAGGGTGTTGTGGGAAAGTGCAGTTCTGCACTTGAAGGAGGTGGTAGTGGAAGTGCAGTGCGTGCACTCTGAAGGGGGTGTGTGGAAGTGCAGTGTCTGCACTCTGAAGGAGGGGTGTGGTGGAAGTGCAGTGCGTGCATCTGAAGGAGGGGTGGTGGTGGGAAGTGCAGTGCCTGCACTCTGAAGGACGGTGGTGGTGGGAGAGAAGGTGCAGTGCCTGCATCTGAAGGAGGGGTGGTGGTGGAAGTGCAGTGCCTGCACTTGAAGGAGGGTAGTTGTGGGAAGTGCAGTGCCTGCACTCTGAAGAGAGGTGGATGGTGGGAAGTGCAGTGCCTGCACTCTGAAGGAGGGTAGTTGTGGAAGTGCAGTGCTGCACTCTGAAGGAGGGGTAGTTGTGGGAAGTGCTAGTGCCTGCACTCTGAAGGAGGGGTGGTTGGTGGGAAGTGAGTGCCTGCACTCTGAAGAGGGGTTAGTGGAGTGCAGTGCTGCTATTGAAAGGTGTGTTGAAGTGCAGTGCTGCACTAAGGAAGGGTGGTGGGAAGTGCAGTGCTGCACTCTGAAGAGGGTAGTTGTGGGAAGTGCATGCTGCACTCTAGGAGGTGTAGTTGTGGGGTGCAGTTCTCACTCTGAGGAGGAGGATGTTGATAGTTTTGAGGATCATCTGAGTGTACGTTCAGTTGCAGTGAAGCAGAGCAGTGATTGAACGAATGAGATGAAATGTTCTCTTTGTCGGGTTACCATACCTGAGGAGATGACAGCATTGTAAAAAAATCAGTATTGATATTAAAATTATATTTTACTGTGCTGCCTTTATCATTATTTATATATAATTTTCTGTTTCAGTTGGTACTTTGGACAGATGTCAAGGCAGGATGCGACGGACCTGTTGATGGGTGAGAGAGAAGGTGGCGTCTTCTTGGTACGAGATTCTACCACCATCTTGGGCGACTTTGTCCTCTGTGTAAGGTGAAGTACCTTCACACACTCTCAGAGAGAGGAAGGAGAACCTGTCTCCTATATTACTTTATCATTTTGTAGAAGTATATGTTATTCCTTCATGAAAATACATGTATTATAGTTATCCTGATTTTTAAATGAAGGTCTTCATATACATAATTAATATCTGAACTCTTGAAACTCTTTAGTTGCCTATTTATTTATTTTATACTGTTATAAAGTTAAGGTGTGGATATCACATGACTACCATGTACAGTAGCATGTGTAGTCTCTTGCTTCCAGTACTCTTGCTTTTTTTTCTGGTTTTCCTGGTGATAATCTATTGTTTATAATCTTCCCAGGATCTTTTTATTCTCATCTGCAATTCAAAGAAATAACAGTTTGGGGATAATCTTTAAAGAGTGAATCAGAAACAATGAACTCGACAAGTATTACTCAATAATTTCTGGTTGCTTTAACGTCAGTCTTATCCAGGTAGAAGGCCCACAAATATCTGGCTTCCCAAATAACATGTATAATTGCCTTTTCTTGCCCCCAGTAACCAAACCCACCAGAATTACTGATTACAGATATATATGTATTCTCTACACCACATTTGGACAAATGTTACAGCTCCTCAAAAATAGAAAAAGACAATCACAAACAGATCTACCTGGGGAAAAAGGACATGTACGTATATGTATAGTGAGAGAAGTGACCTGAAGAGACTGGTAAGTTATGTTAGTAAATGAATGGTTCAGAGAACCGACATGTTTATAAATTAGACACATGTGCAACTCTTGGGTATCTTTATTGAGGAAACGTTTTGCCACACAGTGGCTTCATCAGTCCATACAAAGGAGAATCTTGAAGAACAGGAGGAGAATGAGGTAATCAGTCCCTCAACCTTGAGTCGATGTGGTCAGTCCATCAATCTTGAATAGAATATGGCATACGTGTGGAGAAGGAGCTTATAAACCGTTGGTAGGAGAGGTGCAGCAGTCATAGGTGGTGTCACATTTGTTCAATGTGGAAGTAGGTCGTACCCAAGAATTAGGCAAACGAAGAATTTCCAAGTTATAAAGATACCCAAGAGTTGCACATGTGTCTAATTTATCAAGTTATGTTAAAACTAATTCTGGGTTGGCTGATGACAAGTTGGATAGATATATATGGCTGAGGAGGTGATGCATTCAAGAAGGAACTGTCTACTATGGGCCAGTAAGCCTGCTGTTGTGTGCCTCCATATTGCAAACTGTTGCTATGTAGGACAGCAGTGAAGTTTCTTAGCAAGAGGTTTAGCTAAATCTAACCTGTCATCTGCCTACCCAAAATGAGTTTCAACATAACTCATCTGACTCTTTATGTCACTGCTCTCACTATGTATATATGCACATCCTGTCTCCCCAGGGAGATCTCTTTGTGTCTTGATACAGCCCACTGTGTGGGTGAAACGTTGTCAGTGAACGATTACATTATACAGCGTTTGTCTTTTTCCATCTTGTCTGTATTTTGTACCATTTCTCTCCAGTTCCTCTAAAAGCAGACATAATCACTGATAACACAACTGATCATTACCTAACTTTACTTATTAATAACATAAACAAATCACTAAAAAGGCCTTGGCTAAACAATATAATCCTTAGAGCCATTGACAAGAAGCATACCTATGAAAAAATAATACAGAATGGGCTTAATTCCCAAAGACTAGCAAAAAGATGTTCATCAACACTTATGCTTATAAAGATTTCTAAACAACTATACAGTGGACCCCTGGTTAACGAACTTTTTTCATTCCAGTAGTATGTTCAGGTGCCAGTACTGACCGAATTTTTTCCCATAAGAAATATTGTGAAGTAGATTAGTCCATTTCAGACCCCCAAACATACACATACAAACGCACTTACATAAATACACTTACATAATTGGTCGCATTTGGAGGTGATCGTTAAGCGGGGGTCAACTGTATTATGCTAACAGGTTCCAAGAAATAATGAACAATATTTAAAAGACCTGAAAAATACTCAAATACTGTACTGGGCTCATGCAAAATTGCTAAATCTGAAGAAATTGTTCTGACCACACTTAATAATCCACCATTCTCAACTCTAGGGAGTAACCTTTTCAGAAAAAGCCTAAACACTATTGCTCAAGTCAGTAATTACCTCAGTGACAGTTATAACAATTCCCTCCAACTGTCCCCAACAAATGCTGCAGGTAAAATCAGTCATAAATGCACCACAAAACAAAGCAGGAAATAAAGCCACTATACAGTGGACCCTCGGTTAATGCCTTTAATCTATTCCAGAGAGCTAGCCTTTAACCGATTTAGCCTTTAACCAAATTAATTTTCCCCATAAGAAGTAATGGAAATCCAATTAATCCGTTCCAGATACCCAAAAGTATTAAACAAAATAATTTTTTTACTACCATTTCCCTACACAGGAAACAATGATACATGACATATTAAACAATAATAACATCACACCTACCTTTATTGTGGACTTGTTGATGAGTGATGAGACAGGAGGAAGGCAGAGGATGAAGGTGTTCTATTGTTTGGAAGGGGAATCCCCTTCCATAAAGACTTGAGGTAACAAATCCTTTTCTGGCTTGTGTCCTGGAAGTGCCTTTTCCTCCTGAGTAATGTAGGACCTGTTTGGCATTTTCTTCCTAAACAGGCCTGTTTTGTCACAATTGAATACTTTTGGGGTTTTAATTTTTCAGCCTCTATGTACCCCTTAGAGTCCTGCACATATTTTTCAGCCGCTTTTTTGTCAGAACTGGCAGCCTCACCATGCTTGTCATACCATACCACCATCACAACCACTACCACCTACCATTGCTACACCTACCACCATCTCTACCACCACTCTCTACCACCATCACTACCAACCTCTACCACCATCACTACCAACCTCTACCACCATCACTACCAACCTCTACCATCACTACCACCCTCTACCACCATCACTACCACCCTCTACCACCATCACAATCACTACTACCCTCTACCACCACCACTACCACCATCATTACCATCCTCTACCACCACCACTTTCGTATTTTCTACAAACTTTTTCTTAAATTATATGTGTTTCTCACATTCTTTACCATTGGGCTTTCTTGGGTCCCATGGTGGCTAATTTAGCAGTTACAAGCACTAAAAACAGTGGAATAATACAAAATATATCGCAAGTACACATGGAATCGACCACAACGGCTTGTAAGCAATGTCACACTGGCTGGTAGATTGGGTGACTGGCCGGGCCTGCTCACGGCGCCGAGCGGACACGTTTGGGACGAAAGCTCCTAACCGAGTTTTTAGGTGTTATTCAAGCCTATTTTTCTACGCCAAAACTAGGCATTATCCGATTTTGGCGCTATCCAATCCAGGCGTTAACTGAGGGTCCACTGTACCACCATTCATATACATGTACAAGAAAGTTGCTATCACCTATCATTTTAACCCTGTTTATTAAATCTCTTGAAACAGCACCTATCTCTTAAGATCTTTAGTCAGCTCATGTTACCTTGGTCCACAAAGGTGATGACCCAACTGAAATTAACAATTATAAACCAATTTCTAATTTGCTATTATTATCAGGCCAGGAAAAGTACTAGTGATGCTATCATTAAGATGCTAGACTCAGTCTGATCACCTCTAGAAAATAATGAGTGTCCAATGGGTCTCAATTGATCTAAGGCATGCATTTGTCACTGTAAATCACAATAAAGTGGACCCCTGGTATTCGATATTAATCCATTCCTGAGAGCTCATTGAATGCCGAAAATATCGAAAAGCGAATCAATTTTCCCCATAAGAAATAATGGAAATCAAATTAATCCGTGCAAGACACCCAAAAGTATGAAAAAAAAATTTTACCACATGAAATATTAAGTTTAATGCAATAGAATAATTACAATAACAACAATAACAATAGAATAATTGACACTTACCTTTAATGAAGATGTGGTGATGATTGATGGGATGGGAGGAGGTTACCTGGAGGGGAGAGTGTCGAAGTTGTTACTGTTTAGAAGGGGAATCCCCTTCCACTAGGACTTGAGGTAGCAAGTCCTTTTCCAGGGTTACTTCCCTTCTTCGTTTAATGCCACTAGGACCAGCTTGAGAGTCACTGGACCATTGTCGCACAACAAATCTGTCCATAGAGCTCTGTACCTCCCGTTCCTTTAAGATTTGTCTAAAATGGGCCACAACATTGTCATTGTAATAGTCACCAGCACGGCTTGCAATAGCTGTGTTAGGATGATTTTCATCCATAAAGGTTTGCAGTTCAACCCACTTTGCACACATTTCCTTAATTTTTGAAGTAGGCACAATGGATTCCACAACTGGCATAGGCTTCTCAGGTTAGCCCCAAACCCTTCAGAATCTTTCTTAATTTCCATACTAATTCTCACCCTTTTTACCACAGGGTTGGCACTAGAAGCTGTCTTGAGGCCCATGGTGACTTATTTTGCAGAAACAAGCACCAAAAACAGTGATAATATGGAATGTACCGAATGTATCCTTAGATGCACGCACACTGCCTGGCTTGTAAACACTGGCACACACGGGGCAGTTCAGGCCACACGTGGACACATCTCGTACGAATTGCATTGAATACCGGGTTTTCGATCGGATACAGAGGCGAAATTTTTGCGTTAAAATGCATCGAATACCGAATTTATCGGATACTGATGCCATCGAATACCGGGGGTCCACTGTATATTGCTGCTGAAACTAAAGCATTATGTAAAGTCCTCCCTCACTGACTCAAGTCAACATGTGAAAGTTGACCATTGTACCTCGTTAACACAAACTGGGAACAGGTGTGCTTTAGGGTGCCATCCTTGACCCATTATTATTCCTTGTTTACATCAATAGCTTGCCAGATGCCAGGAACTTAAACCAGAAAATTTCCAAAACTGTGAGCATTCTATCAAAATTAAACTACAGTGGATCCCCGGTTATCGGCCGGTTCTGTTATAAGCCAACTCGGTTATCGGCCGGATTTTCGGCGCCCATTTATCAGCTGTTAATTCAGTTATCGGCCGTTTGGGATATGTCCATCCACTGGCTGGGACCGCTTGCGTGTCAGTTTGGCTTTGTCTCTCGGTGGCTGAGGAAGCTTCTGCTCATACATCCAAATATTTTGCTTGTTTACCATTGTTTTTAGTGTTTTTTTTTTTCCAGTGCAACTGTGAAATAAGTAACCATGGCTCCAAAGAAAGTTCCTAGTAAAGTTCCTGTGGTAAAGAAAGTGAGAAACACCATGGAATTTAAGTGTGAAGTGATAGAAAAGTTTGAGGTGGTGGAACTTGCTAGGATGTACAGCAAAAATAAATCAACAATTACATGCATCCTGGCAAAGAAAGAACAACTCAAAGATGCTAATGTTGCAAAAGGAGTAACTTGTCTAACTAAACAAAGGACACCAATAATGGAAGAGATGGAAAAGTTATTATTATTGTGGATTAAGGAAAAAGAATTAGTGGGAGACATGGTAGTGGAGTTTACTATTTGTGAGAAGGCAAAGCAGTTGCATGAGAATCTTGCAAAGAAAATGCTGGAACAAGTGCTGCAGTTTGTGAATTTAGGGCCAGCAAAGGATGGTTTGATAGATTTAAGAAGTGTAGTGGCATACACAGTGTTGTAAGGAATGGTGAGGCTGCAAGTTCTGACAGATGTGCGGCTGAAAAGTATGTTCACGAATTCTAGGACTATGTAAAGGGATTCGAACACCAACAAGTGTTCAATTGTGACGAAAGAGGCCTGTTTGGGAAGAAAATGCCAAACAGGACCTACATTACCCAGGAGGAAAAGACACTGCCAGGACACAAGCCTGTGAAAGACAGGCGTACTCTTTTGTTGTGTGGTAATGCTAGTGGGGATTTCAAAATGAAGCCTTTACTCATGTATCACTCAGAAAATCCCAGAGTGTTCAAGAAGAGCAATGTCATGAAGAATAGATTGTGTGCGATGTGGAAAGCTAATCATAAGGCATGGGTCACAAGGCAAATTTTCAAAGAATGGGTTAATGATGTGTTTAGCCCAAGTGTGAAAAAATACCTCCTGGAAAAGAAATTGCCACTCAAGTGCCGCCTGTACCGGACAGTGCTCCTGCACATCCTCCAGACTTTCAAGACCAAGTGTTTAGGGACTTCAGTTTTATCACAGTGAAGTTCTTGCCTTCTAACACCACTCCTCTCCTCCAGCCCATAGACCAGCAGGTCATTTCTAACTTCAAAAAACTCTACACAAAAGCAGTTTCAAAAGTGCTTTGAAGTGACGTCGGAGACTCAGTTGACCCTAAGAGAGTTCTGGAGGAATCACTTCACTATCCTCCATTGCATAAGCCTTATTGGTAAGGCTTGGGAGGGAGTGACTTCCAGGACTTTGAACTTTGCTTGGAGAAAACTGTGGCCAGATTGTGTCCTAGAGAGGGATTTTTCAAGGGTTTGAGACTGACCCTGACACTGCCGACCCTGTGGACTCTATTGTGGCACTGGGTGAGCCCCTGGGGTTGGAGGTGAGTGGCAACGATGTGGAAGAGTTGGTGGAGGACCACAGGGAAGAGCTAACTACTGAAGAGCTGCAAGAGCTTCATCTTGAACAGCAACAGACTGCAGCTGAGGAACTCGCTTCAGAGGAGGAGGAAGAGGGAGTGAAGGAGGTGCCTTCTTCTGAGATTAAAGAGGTGTGTGCAATGTGGACTAGAGTGCAAGCTTTTGTAGAGAAAAACCACCCTGACAAAGCTGAAACAAGCCATATCTGCAACATGTTTAGTGACAAAACCCTGTCCCACTTCAGGGAAATCTTAAGAGACACCAGAAACAGAGCACTCTGGACAGTTATTTTGTGAGACAGGGGTCCAGTGACTCTCAAGCTGGTCCTAGTGGCATTAAAAGACAGAGAAGGGAAGTAACCCCAGAGAAGGCTTTGCTACCTAAAGTCTTTGTGGAGGGGATTCCCCTTCCAAACATTAACTCCTTCTTTCCTCCTCCCTATCTTCCAGAAGCCAGCATTAGCCTTCAATAAAGGTATGTATTACTTACATAATAGTTAAAAAAGTTATTTTTTTTTAATATTTTTGTTTGGAATGGATTGATTGTACAGTGGACCCCCGCTTAACGATCACCTCCCAATGCGACCAATTATGTAAGTGTATTTATGTAAGTGCGTTTGTACGTGTATGTTTGGGGGTCTGAAATGGACTCATCTACTTCACAATATTCCTTATGGGAACAAATTCGGTCAGTACTGGCACCTGAACATACTTCTGGAATGAAAAAATATCGTTAACCGGGGGTCCACTGTATTTCCATTAATTCTTATGGGGAAATATTAATTTGGTTTTCAGCCATTTCGGTTATTGGCCGACCTTCTGGAACAGATTACGGCCAATAACCGGGGGTCCACTGTACAGTACAGTGTTGTATAAACATTTAAAAATATACCAGAAATGTTATAATGGTGCAAAGGTAACATTAAAACATTATCAGAGATGGTTAACATAAACCCACTACCATTATAGTATGCTCCTCATTTAGCGACAAATTCGTTTACTGACTTGGTCATAGGAACGGAACTCCATCGTTAAGTGAGGAGAGGCTGTACATGTATTTGCATAAATAAGTCATCATGGGGACTAAGAAGATTAGTGATAACAGCCAACCAAAAAGAAAATTGGTTAGTCACAATAAAGATGAAAAATTATTATTAATTATTCCTTATGGGGAAAAATTTGTTCGATTCTTGAACAGATCAGCACTCAAACAGCCTTCTGGGACGAATTAAGTTCGAGTACTGAGGTACTACTGTATTACGTATTACCAAACATCTTTCTATACAAAGTTTAATTAAAGACTCCCATTATCATTTACCCTGGCACTCCAGACTTACCTGCCATCCCCTCTACAGCAGTTTCCCCCAAAGTGAGAGAGTAATTATGATTACTCTCTCACTTTGTTGAAAACTCCCTAAACATTCACTTATCTCCCAAAGTGACTCTTCTCTACACTCCTTTCTTCTCCAGGTGCATAAACATTTAGTAGAACCCACTTTTTGCATCCAACCCTTATTTTAATCCACATAATCCTTGAAATTATACATTTATTTTCCCACTTTTCCTACTATAACTGATCCTTCAGCATTTTTGCTACTCCTTCCTTAGCTCTAGCACTCTCTTCACTAAAACACACCTCCCCCTTCAGCAGTCATCTTTTTCTTGTCATTTGCACTACATACTCACACATTTAAACACCCAAGCTTTAAAAATTTTTTCATCTTTTTACATTTAGTAATTTATTTATTCCTACTGTAGTGTGTACTACAGTACACACTACAGTAGGAAAATATTTATTACAAAGCTCAAAGACAAACTTGTATATGTGGAAAATGTATTTTGTTTCTGCGTATGTTAATTAGTGTTTAAATTTTCAGAGAAGACAACAAAGTTTCACATTATATAATAAACAAGATACAACAAGCTGAACAAGTTCGCTATCGTATTGGTGATCAGATGTTTCCAGACTTGCCATCGCTTCTCAATTTTTATAAACTGCATTATCTAGATAGCACGCCCCTCATCCGACCAGCAGTCAAGCGTTGTGAAAAGGTTGTAGCAAAATATGACTTTGAAGGCAGTGTAAGTGGTTAATTATTTGCATTCTAATTGGACATCCCTGATTGGGGTGTATCTTGTTTTGTTTGTTATTGAATGTCATTTTCTTAAAAAACTATTTTACTTTGAAATACTGTTGTAACAGTAGCTGTAAACCTTTTCTTAATAATAATACAAATCTTTATGCATAAGAACATTAAATACATTGGTGCAGTACTTACAATAAAACTCTAATATAATGACTAATTTGGGGTTCTCCGAGGGTCCGTTTGAACCAGTGTTAAAAGACAACAAAAATAGTACTGAAGTGTTATACTGTAGTCCTGATGTAATACTCTACACCACACATAATTTGCAGTTGTACTGTAATAAACATTGACAGTCAAATGTGTTATTTCAGAAGGCCATTATACTGAGGGCTGTTATATTGAGGCATATTATATTGAGGACTGTTACATTGAGGCACATTATATTGAGTGTTTAGTGTAAGTGTGTATAAAATATATTATTCTTACAAAGATTGCATTATGCTAAGAGTTTCAAATGAGACTTTAACCAATACACTTTATTTCAAGCTCGAGAAGTATTCTTCTATAAATAATCCATTATACCCATGTACAGTAAGGTCCCGCTTTACAGCGTTTCACCTTACTGTGTTCCGCTAATACGGTGATGTAAAATCATGACCAAAATTTGCTATATGGCAAGCGGTCTTTCAAATACGGCGCCCCCCACCCGGTTTGTTTACATTCTCCGTGACCACATCTATTATGTCAGGAAACTTTCCAAAATTTCAAGTGTTTTAGAGTTACTGCATATTTTATATGTACTCTGATAATTATACTTATGTGTACTTGTACCTAAATATACTTACACACTGTGCTGGTGTGCAGGTACACATGAAAATTGCTAAGTCTCTCTCTACTCATGACGCCTATACTACATAATAATAATCACTCTTGGGCACACTTAATTTCTTATTTTACATCAATATAGGCATTTTCATTAATCCATCTATGATATTTTCCTCAAAATTATACGTGACCCATCGCATAACTGATTACCTCAGAATGGACAATTATGTAATGTATTTATGTAGTTGCGTTTGTACGTGTTGTTGGGAGGTCTGAAATGGACTAATTACTTCACAATATTCCTAGGGAATAAACTCTGTGGGGCACTGAACATACTTATGAGTGAAAAATATCGTTTATACGGTTGTCCATTTATGAAACCCATTACATAGCATATAAACATGATTCATACACTCGAATAAAATTGATGTAAATATGAGATTTGTTTCAAAGCAGCTGTGAAGGTTGTCGAAGAATTATATTTTCTTATCAAACACTGGGGGGTAATGTAGAAAATATTTTTTTATGTTTATATATGTATAGAATAATAATTGTGTTTATTTTTTATTATAATAATAATAATATTATTATTATTAATATTATTATCTTCATTCACTCTAAAAATGGTGTGTTGCTGTTTGTTTATTCTGAACTAACTTGTACAACTTGTACACAATGTAAGAGTATTTGTATTGTCAGGTAATTATTATTATAATATTGAGGTAAATGTTTTACAAACTCTTACAAACGTACGTGAATGAAGTAAAAGTAGACACATATTAATACGCATTATTTCACCTGGCCAAGAGATTGCCCACTACCTGTTCAGTTTGTGTTCTTACATTGTCTCAACTCTGTATCTCTTTCTCTCTCTCGTTTACTCTTTCGTTAACTAGTTGGCTCTCATTGACAATGGCGTCTAAGGTTAGCTGTGATAAAAAGAGAAGTCGTAAGCCTCTTGCTTTAAGTGCCAAGTTAGAGGATGATGGTGTGCCATTCTGATTTTATTCAATAAACACCCTGCCACTCACCTCTCACACATTAATATTAATATTTTAAGGTAAGTAATAAGTGTACTCTGTGTGTATCTTACCTTTTATTGTGTTTTTAATGCCTATTTCTATTGCTAACTTAATATAAGTTAGTGTAAACTTGTTGTCTGGCATTTATTGCATATTTTATGTGTGCTCTGATAATAGTACTTGTGGACCTGTGTGGTAGCCGGGTGGAGGGACAACATTACGTTTTCTCTGCTCAGCCATCAGAGAAAACGTGTATGAATCTGTGTTTGGCCCAGCCACTCCCCCACTCCGCTTTTGTTTACAATTTTTGGCATGAATTATTCATTACTTCTACCTTCGTTTATGATGGCATCTAAAGGTAGTTGTTAGAATTGATTAAATTTAGTGAACAAGGCATGTTGATGTTAATAATATGGCTCTGGCCCACAGTGTAGGTAGCCAGTAGGTGTAGCCCAGGTGGGCTACACCTACTGGCTACCTACACTGACTTCCTACAAATAAATACTACTAACCTCTCTTCCTATATTAAGACTACACATATTTTAAGGTAAATAATGAGTGTACTGTATGTGTATTTTACCTCTCTGGGATGTTTTAAATATTGTATATTAAGTATGAGATGGGGAGCCAGGGCTACCTACACCTGGGCTACCTGCACCTGACTTCCTACAAATAAGTACTACTCGCCTCTCTCCCTACATTAAGATTACAAGTACAGTGGACCCCCGCATACCGATTTTAATCCGTGCAAGAGGGCTCATTGGTATGCGAAATAATCGGTATGCGAATGAATTTTCCCCATAAGAAATAATGGAAATCAAATTAATCCGTGCAAGACACCCAAAAGTATGAAAAAAAAATTTTTACCACGTGAAATATACATTTTCCTACACACAAAGAGAAGGATACATGCACAATAGTAGAGTAGTACATGCACAGTATATATTGTGCATGTACTAGTCTACTAAATGAAGAATAAATGACACTTACCTTTATTGAAGATGCAGCAATGACTGATGAGACACTGTGTCCTGGGAGTGCCTTTTCCTCCTGAGTACTGTAGGTCCTGTTTGGTATTTTCTTCCAGAACATGCCTTATCACACTGTGTATGTCACTACGATTCTTAAATCTCTCAAACCAACCTTTGCTGGCTTTAAATTCACCAATATGAGCACTAGTTCCAGGCATTTTTCCCTGTTCACCTGGGTGTTAGTTGACTGGTGTGGGTTGCATCCTGGGAGAAAAGATTAAGGGCCCCAATGGAAAATAAGTTAGACAGTCTTCGATGACACTGACTTTTTTGGGTTATCCTGGGTGGCAAATCCTCTGGGGTTAATTGTTTTTGGGTTATTCTCAATAAGCCACACCAACAACAGTGCTACAGCAGCAGCAGACGATGCTACAGCAGCAAGCAGCGATGCTATAGCAGCAGCAGACGATGCTACAGCAGCAGCAGCAGCTGACCGTGCTACAGCAGCAGAAAGACGATGCTACAGCGCAGCAGACGATGCTACAGCAGCAGCAGACGATGTACAGCAGCAGCAGACGATGCTACAGCAGCAGCAGCAGCTGACAGTGCAGCAGCAGCAGACGATGCTACGCAGCAGCAGTAGCTGACAGTGCAGCAGCAGCAGCTGTACCACCAATAGTAGCGATGGTTGATTGGGGTTTATTTTTAAAACTGGCCAGCTCGGAGACACGCACTCCACTTTCATACTTATCAATGATCTTTTCTTCATCTCTATAGTAATTCTCACCCTTATTGCTGTGGGGTTGGCACTAGAAGCTTTCTTGGGGCCCATGGTCATTATTTTCCAGAAAAAATCACCAAAAACACTGTAATAATACGAAAGTTAGATTGTATGCTTGGATGCTACGCGGAGGTTGGCTGGTAAACAATGCCACCGGCGGAACATGTGAGGCTGGCTAAGGCGCACATTGGACGCGTCTCGGACGAACAGCAGTGAGCGGGTTTTTAAGCGGTATGCGAGGCAAAATTTTTGCGATTAAAGCAAGCGGTATGCTGATTAATCGTTATGTGATGCCAACGGTATGCGGGGGTCCACTGTACTTTAAGATAAGTAATGAATTTACTGTGAATGTATTTTACTTTGTGCATTTTTAATGCCTCGTTCTATTACTAACTTAATGTAATTTAGTGTAAACTTGTTGTCTGGCATTTATATGCATTTATAAATGGAAAAAAATGGTGTTCTGCCCTCCGGCGATGTCTGCTTTCCGGCAACAGCGTGGAACCTAACCCGCCATATAAGTGGGGCTCTACTGTATATTGTTCCCACTGAGGACAAATATTAAAATATAATAGTTCTAATTAGAATTCATTGTTGATATTGAAGAACATATAAAGTAAGAATCACTGAAGTGAATGTGAGATGGATGACAACTTTGTTAGACCAGCAGACAAACCTGTGAGTACCTCACTAGAGTGAAGGATATTGAAAGAAAGGATACATTACATGAATTCTGTAACTTATTCATTTAACTGCTGGGAAATTGTCATTTTACATTAAAATTGGTAAAATAAAGTTGATCCTAATATATTTAAAATTTTCAGGATCAAGATGATCTGCCATTCAGAAAAGGAGAAATATTAACTATTGTTAGTAAAGATGAAGAACAGTGGTGGACAGCCAGAAATTCCATGAATCAGACTGGCTCCATACCAGTACCCTATGTTCAGAAGGTAAGCAGACTCAACACTGTTTAATTGGTTTAGAAAAACACATAAGCAAATACTAGGATCAAGGTCTCAGGACTGAAACGTTTTCTAATAAATATGTCCTAGTGTTTGCTTACGTGTTTTTCTAAACCATCTGAAAAGTAAAATGATAATGATAGTTTACATGGAATGGGAATGGAGCTTAAGAAATTGACAAGTTTTGTAGAAATATTTTTTTTTAACAATAGTATGAAAATAGTGGATGACAAGACACAAAATAGTGCAAATATTTTTTGCAACAACATTGGTCACCTAAAAAGTCGATATATGATATGCACTTAGCCAGACATCACTATTTTGTGTGTCTTTTTTTTTTTTTTGGCTGGCTGCCTCTTGAATAATGACACAGTATGCAGGGACTTAATTACTTCATTCAGAGACAAGTAAAACATTAGGTTGTATAGTAATTGAGAAGTCTGTGAGGAATAGTGATGGCCAGCATAGTGTGTGGTGATGGTTAGCATAGTGTGTGGTGATGGTTAGCATGGTGTGTGGTGATGGTCAGTATAGTGTGTAGTGATGATCAACATAGTATGTGGTGATGGTCAGCATGGTGTGTGGTGAGAGAGTTAGGCCACCTGTGAGTTAGTTTACCTGCAGGTGAGTGAGGTGTCAAGTGATGGCTCTTAGTTCTGGGTTAAATTAACCTTGCTAAACTCTTGGAGATAGTTTTGTTGAATGGTGTTGACAGTGTAGATTAAAGTTGATTCCCAGCAGTCTGGGGGACATCAGTTCAGAGAAGTTCATCAGGGGATTACAGGTGTTTCTGATATGCAGTAGAACCCCTCTATCCACTAATTCAGTATCTGCAGTTTCAGTTATCTACAGTTTACTGTGGCTCAAAAATACCTCTTAATTTTGAATAATAATGGCCCCAAAGCGCAAAAGTAGAGAAGCTGGAAGTTCTTCAAAGCCTAAGAGAAAGCTGTGAAATGCTTTCACTTCTTGTGCATAATTTATCAATTAAACTTTAAAATAGGTATGCATAGGACTTATTTTTCTGTCTCATAAACATGCAAGGTTTCAGGTATGTCTTGCTACTTCTACTTACACTTAGGTCACACTACACATACATGTACAAGCATATATATACACACCCCTCTGGGTTTTCTTTTATTTTCTTACTAGTTCTTGTTCTTGTTTATTTCCTCTTACCTCCATGTGGAAGTGGAACAGAATTCTTCCTCCGTAAGCCATGCGTGTTGTAAGAGGCGACTAAAATGCCAGAGCGAGGGGCTAGTAACCCCTTCTCCTGTATATATTACTAAATGTAAAAGGAGAAACTTTTGTTTTTCCTTTTGGGCCACCCCGCCTCGGTGGGATACGGCTGGTGTGTTGAAAGAAAGAAAAGTATAGGACTTGTATATAGGGTTTGCTACTATCCACGGTTTTGGTATCCACGGCAGGTCCTGGGAAAACATATCCCCTGTGGATACGGGGGTCCTACTGTACATGTGTTGCTAGTGTTGTCCCTCTGGCAAATATATTTGTATTTATTGATTCTAGTGAAAACCCTTGGATGTTTACCCCATGTCAGATTTATCACAGCCTCAGTAAAACATGATGTAGACCCCAGGAGTGATAGCTACTAGTTTAGTCACCTTTTTGACTATGTCCTGATTGTACTGGAGGCTATTTTTAATGTAAGTTGTAGCTAAGGTATTAGCTAAGTTGCTGTGTGTTTGTTAATCAGGAGTATTATGTATTTCTTATTAGCTGGTTTGGTACTGTGCAGAATATTTTCTGATTTCCTTTCACAGTTGGAGATGAAGTGTCTCGGGTAGTGAAGCTTCATGAAGACTGTAGATGTAGTCACATTACTCTGAGGAATGTGATGAAGGAGGAAATAACCTGCACATTGTGTCATTATCATCATAATGTTGGTATATTATTATTTTATTCAATCCTCTTTAATTGCAAGGGTAATATTTTTTATTAGCCTTAGTTGTTTATAAAATATATACAGTACTGTAGGAAAGGAAAACGATGATGCTCCTATTCCTACTGATGTCTGTTTTATATCCTTTGGTAGCCTTATAAAATGCTACTCTCTTCCTACTTTTTTTCCAGAATATTAATACATGCATTGTTTGAACTCTTGGTAGTTTTTTGGCACCTTTCTCCCCAAGGGAGGGTATGGCCCATTAATGGAACATACATTTACTTTTACTCAGTCTCTTTGTTGTCTTTCAAAAGTGTATGGACATCACAATTCAGTGATCTATCAAACTGAAATATTGGTCATGTTTATTGCTGTTTAATCAGCTGGAGTGAGAGAGGAGTTAGGTGATGCATTGGTCTCCAGGTTATCCATGAGGGGAGATGCTAGAGCAAAACTTTTTTCACTTAGTTTCATCTGAGTCTTGATGTAGTTTCTAGTGTTGGTTCTCTTGTGCTTCCTGATTTTGTATAGAGAGCAGTGTGATGAGCAGATCTTGTTGTTCTAGGAACTTAGGTAGCTTGTTCATCTGGCAGTGGGGCTGATGTTGGATAATGTTGGGCTGTCCTCTATTTTTAGTCAGCAAGTTTAACTAACTCATGCACAAGAGATTATATTCATTTATAACAGAGCAAAGCATCCTCAACCCCTGCCAATTTGGCTTCTGGAAAAGCAAAAACACAAATGATGCAATTGTAAAACTGCTAGACCTGCTTTACACAGCGCTGGAAAAAAAATGAATGTCCAGTAGGACTCTTTATGGACCTAAGGCAAGCTTTTGATACAGTAGACCACAGCATCCTACTCCACAGACTTGATCATTATGGTTTAAGAGGCCATGCACTTACATATTTCAAATCTTACCTTACTAACTAGCATCATTATGTCTCTATTAAGGACACAACCTCAGCAACAAGACCACTGGATACTGGAGTGCCACAGGGAAGTGTCCTTGGTCCCCTGCTCTTCCTCTTATACATCAATGATCTTCCTAATGTATCACAGCACCTGAAATCAAATTCTCTGCTGATAACATGTCATCTCCCACCCTAATCTTGCCTCACTCAACACCATTGTTATTGAAGAGCTAGTAAAAATATCAACCTGGATGACTGCCAATAAACTTACACTTAATACTCACAAAACCTTCTATATTATGTTTGGGAACAGAGCAGGTGCTGCACATCTGAATATTATGACTGACAACACTCTTATCGCTAATCATAATGAGGGTAAATTCTCGGGCCTGCACCTTGACAGCAACCTGAAATTCAACACTCATATCCAACACACAACAAAAAAAGTATCCAAAACGGTTGGGACCCTCTCCAAGATATGTTACTATGTACCACAATCAGCCCTACTCACACTATACTATTCACTCGTCTATCCCTACCTCACTTACGCTGTTTGTGCCTGGGGATCAACAGCAACATCCCACCTAAAGCCAATAATCACCCAACAAAAAGCCACAGTATGAATTATCATGCAATCCAATGCTAGGCAACACCCCACCTCCCTACTCTTCAGAGACCTAAACTTACTGTACAGAACATTCACACCTACTACTGTGCAACATACATTTACAGAACCATAAATTCTAATATTAACCCTGAACTAAAACACTTTCTTGATAGTTGTAACAGGACCCATAGACACAATACCAGACATAAAAATCTCTCTGACACTCCCCGTGTCCGGCTAAATCTCTACAAAAATTCAATGTACAGGTCCTCCATCACAAATCCGGCATCATTGGGACCTGTAGTGTGCTGGATTACTGAGTTTGCTGGATTATAGAGTGGATAAGTTAATAAAATTAACCAACTTGACTTACACAAAGTTCATTGAACATCTGCAAAAATCATTTCTGCTACTTTGAGCTCAATTTCAAGGTACTTTTCATCATGAAACCAATCAAAATCATATCTATTTCTGTAATATATTTTCCATTCTATCAAATGAGATAAAAAAAATGAGAATACAACCATAAAAACCATATGAAAATATACCACAAAGAGGCGGCTAATGGCTGAAAAGTGAACTCCCTTATTTATCATCCTTTTTTTTTTTATTTTTAGTGTATGCTAAGAAGCATCTTTCCATCATACATTGCCCAAGTTTCAATAAGATAGCCCAACAAACAACTGAGAAAATTTTTTTTTTTACCAAAAATCATATATAGCAAGCCCAAGCCAGGTACTGGAAACAAGTCACTTTGACTTTTTTGGGTTATCCTAGGTTCTCTATACATATGCTGCTATGTTTGATAATTTATGTAACTGTATTTTTGTATACCTGAATAAACTTACTTATTTACTTACTTCTATTCTGTCGACTGAGTACAAGAAATCGACCATTCACCTATTTTAACTACCCAATAAAGTAGTCAGAAATTGGCACATTGGCCAATTTCACACAAATTCCAACAGATGCCAGTTTCAAAATAACATTTTCTCTGTTCATTAGTCACAGCTCCAGGCCCCTCTTATATTACTCTTGCTTACCATTTGGAATATTCACACAAAAAATAGAAAATTTACTGCTATGCAGACTACTGCATTATTGTAATAATTGTATAAATAATGTCAACCCATTCTTGACTGTGTACAGTAGTTAGTTAGTTTAATATGTTTATTATGCACCTCATACCCATCCTGTGGGCGGTAGTCAAAAGATTACAGAGGTACATAATGGGTCCAGGGACTGGGTCTCAAAGTTTTGATGGCTGAGCAAGTTACAGAGGTAATGAATTCACAATTTACAAAGGTAATGAACTCACAATTTACAAAGGTAATGAACTCCAGGTAGGTCTAGGCACAATCATAACAAGTTACAAAGGTATTAACAGATTATAGAGGTACACAATGGGTCCAGGGACTGGGCCCCAAAGTTTTGATGGCTGAACTAGGTACAAGGTAATGAACTCACAAGTTACAAAGGTAATGAATACTGTAAGAATGGTTACTTGCGTTTATACATGGCTACAATCATGAACAAATTTTAGAGTAATGAGCAATTCACA